TTCCTACATTCATGGTTCTCACATTCCATGTCCCAATCACCAGTGTCTGCTTACAACTGTTCCTCTTCCTTTGTATTTCCATACTTGAAAACTCATCCTCCTTTGCTGTTTCTATTATCTAAATGCGTTCTGTTGTACATAGGGTTTTCAGAGGCCTGCTATTTCAAAAGAGGATGGCCAATCCTTCTTCCTAGTCTGCCTCAATGTGAATGTTCAGATTTAGAGAAGTATCAGACAGACCAGCAAGTTAAAGGTATATCCGTTCTTGCAGAGTTAACTTTAGTGTCAGTGTTGTCCCTGCCTTTCTCACACGCGTCTTTACCCACTTATTTCCTTGCTCCACCATCCACCAGGATACCCGTTCACTTCTACCTACTCCCTTCACATCTATCTCCCTTTGACCAGCCCTCCATCTAATAACTTATATATGCTTCTGTGATTCCAAACACATCAGCTGATGGTAGTTCCTTATGTTGGGATCAATGTCTCTGAAGTTTAGTCTTAATGTTTTCCGAGCAAAGGTGATGCATCCTATAGAACTGGTGTGTAGATAGGCTTTTCTTGAATGTCGTGAGGTTTTTGCGTCTTCGATTACCTGGGAAGATGGGAGGGGTCTGAGACTGATCTCTAAGGTGCTCAGCTTTCAGCTAGTCTGATGCCTAACCCCTCCTCTGAGCGGCCTGCCGGAACGAATGTCGTGGTTTTTGCGGCCTACTCGAAGATATTAAGAAGTAATGATATATCAGTTTGGAGAAAAAGTACATCTGATTCAGTCCATGGTATCTTCAATTACTTTTTATGCATCTGAAAATTGGATAATGACTAAAAATGACAAAAGAAGGACTGAAGTCTTTGAGTTGTGATGTTTGAGAACACCCATGGACTACCAAAAAAAAAAAAAACCCAAACAAAAAAACCATAACAAACCCAAACATCAAAAAACAAATATGTCATTCACTGTTGCACTTCCTGCCCAGCCCCCCCCCCCCCCCCCCGCCCGTCCCCTCCACCCCAGTTTGCTCCTCTCTTTGAAAAAGTAAAAAAAAATCTTTCTTTGGTATACAATCCCCCCACACCCTTCCCACTGCCCCAGGTGCACTCCATTCTGCACCCTTAATTCTATTCTTAATATGTACTGTTTCTGCTTTGTATTAACTTTGCAGAGTCAGATATTTTAATCTGTTGGGAGTTTCCTACTAGACTGAGTCAGTATTTCTTTTCATCAGTCACTGCTAAAAAGTAGAAATATACCATAAACCCCTTGACTTCAGGATATTTTTAATTTAATCATTAAATTTTATTAATTTTAATGAAGATTTGCAGAGATTTGGGGTTTTCATTCATTTATTGTTGCATATTTTCTCTACCCTCCTCCCTAGTTTGTTCTCCCCACCTTGAAAGTCTGTTTTAATTGTCCATTTGCCACAGTGCTTGTCAAAGCCAGTTCTAATTAATCTCCTTTGTCAGTATGTCCTTTGCCATTCCCTATCACTCCTCCCTGAGAGAGACTTCACCCTGATTCATAAGGAAAAGGGGATGGCATATTCTCTTAGCTACTTCCTGCTGAAA